TGTGTGTGTGTGTGTGTGTGTGTGTGTGTGTGTGTGTGTGTGTGTGTGTGTGTGTGTGTGTGTGTGTGTGTGTGTGAGAGAGAATATTCACGCGTCTCAGTCTCACGCAGGAATCGTCTTATTTACATGCCCACGACTGCAGGATTGTGCCGGTGAAGCTCTAACACGTCTAATTGTCAGGAGTGACGTCTCATGAAATTCAAATGTGTAATGCCTGCGTGAGATTTGTTCCACTGGCGATTCGCTCCGAGCAACCTGTGAGGAAAAGAGCCATTAAAAACAGAGCTCTTCTGAAATGGAATGGATTTTAATAGTATTTGGACACTTACAAATGATTGTTAGATACAGAATATCACAGCAAGTGTCATTTATTGTAAAGAAGAAGCATAAACACACTTAAACATTTGATAAAAAGTCAGATCTGGTGATGAAAATGAAGAATTGTGTCACTTCATCACTTCATGTGATTCATCAGATTATTTTCAGAATCTTTGTTCTCTGTGTTTTGCTGATTTTAGTGCATGTCAGTTCTGCACAACTTCACACAGGTGTAGAGAATCACATTAACTAGCACCATGATCCACTAACTAACCACAAACACACACCGTACTGACCGTCTTCAGCTTCAACATCTATTGATTTAGCAGTTCAAACACATCATGTATTGCTTCTGTTTGATATTTTGCTGTGATATTTTCTCTAATACTCCAGGATGTACGTGAGCAGTTTTATAAAATAGAATAACGACGATTTCTCAAGGGTATGGTACAGTAGACGCATGAAAGAGAGCTTTAAAACATCAAACAGACTGTGAGGAAGAGCGTCTCCTGAGAGTGAAGTTAAAAAGAGAGAAGCACCCCTCAGATCTTCCCAGCCAGACGCGTGACGCCGTTTTGTCATCTCAGAGAGAGACTCCTTCAGAAGATCCAGAGCGCTTCGTATACTGCCCACAGAAGAGGAATATGTAGCCACGAATATTCAAAAGTCCATTCAAGAGTCCATTAAACGCTGTAAAATCTCGACCCACACTATCCATGCGGTCCGTGTGTGTGTTAATGTGTCCGTACTCCCCACTGAATGGCTGTAACACACTTCTGCCTCGTCTAATGGATCAGCTTTTATGAGTTTGCAACACTTGTAAAACATTGGATTTATTTGCCTCAGTGGGAATATAGCAGCACCTATGTGTATTTTAAATGGCTGTTCTGCTGATAATTTTGTGGCTTGTGGTGTTTGGATGGGAATGGGAATGTAACCTAATTTATCAGCCGTTGAATAGATTAAGACATCTGATGTGCTAACATTATTTGGCATTTCTCAATACAATAGTGCAGTGGGCAGCGCTCTCACAGGACACATCGCAGCTTCATCCATGAGTTTAAATGAATGCACATTATTTGTCTCCTTTAGATAATAAGACGATAATAAGAAGTTTTATCTCTCTTTGTATTGCAGATTAATCCTGATTTTAAGCATGCATCGACATGCACATTGCTGCTTAAGGGAAGATTCACACAGAACACGCTTTTACTTGTGAAATGGGTGAAAAATGCAAGGTCGCAAGACACTTTATAAAAAGTATTTAACTTAAGTTTTCAGAATGCCGTTTCATGAACAATATGCTGCAGAAGATGCCAGATGTGAATGCAATAGTCAAACATATCCATCTAGTGCGTGTTTGCATAGACCAATTTATGGAAATGTAGTGCAATGGACTGGAAAAACGCATTCTGTGTGAACGGCCCTCGAAGTTCAGTTTTGCATTCGAGATGCACAGGTGAACTCTTTTAATAACGTGTTGCAAAACTCTTGTTTGCAGGGGTGATCCGTGAGACGTACCACCGAGACCGCGATCAGATGGTTCCCGTCACGCTCCTGGCCATCGCCGTCATCCTTGCCTTCGTCATGGGCGGCATCTTCTCCGGCATCGTGGTCTACTGCGTGTGCGACCACCACCGCCGGCGGGACTTCGAGCTGCCCGGCCGCAAAGACAAGGACTCGGTTCAGTCCAGACGGGGCTCCATGAACAGCGTCACCAAGCTGACGGGGCTCTTTGAGACGCAAGCCAAGGACGGACGGACAGAAGCCATTCTGACCCCACTCATGCACAACGGCCGCTTGGCCAACGGCAAGATGCTCATCAAAGCTGACCAGCACTTGGATCTGACCGCTCTGCCCACGCCCGAATCCACGCCTATGCAGCCGCGGCGCAAACCCAGCCGAGGCAGCCGCGAGTGGGAGCGCAACCAGAACCTGATCAACGCCTGCACCAAAGACTTGCCCTCCATGGGCTCTGTGGTCATCCCGACGGATTTGCCTCTGCGGGCGTCTCCGGGCCACATCCCAAGTGTGGTGGTGCTGCCTTTGCCCCAACATCAGCATGAGTATGTAGAGCAACCGCACCGCGGAGAGCTCGCCATTGACCAGGCCGCCACGCTGGAGTACAAGTCCCTCAAGAGCCCAAGCTTGGCGAATGGCGAGAGAGCACCTCCAAGAGTCCCCCAGCGAGAGGCGTCTCTGAGCGCCGTGATCCCGCCTGCCGTCCCGCAAATGGGCAAGAGGCTGGATGTGCATTCGTCCGTATACAGCCGCGGCTATCCCATGAGCTCGGGCATCAAGAAACAGCACAACACCAACTCGTCCAACTCATCCCACATGTCCAGGAACCACAGTTTCCGTGTGGAGACGCCTCCTCCGCCCGCTCCGCAGCGGGTGGACTCCATGCACGTCACCTCTCCGCCGCCGATCCTCGGTCTGTCGCGCCATCCCAGCCTGAGCTCATACGGCTCTCTCTCCAGGCATCTCAAGCCTGACGTCCCTCCTAAACCGAATCTGGTGTCCCTTTCCACAAAAGCCAAGTCCGGGGACTCCTGCACATAATCGATCGCTGCGGAATCAAAGACAGGGAACGTGAAAGTGCGTCTGCTTTGTGCAGCTGTGTACAGGAAATGCAACTCACTTTTTGTTTTGTTTTGTATATTTTGTAATACATGTCGAGCTCAGGCTGATGAGGGCGAACATCTGGGGCAACTCTTGGAGATTTCGTCCAGTGGCAGCATGGTTGCCGATGGTCATTTTCTGCCAAAAGCACTTCGGAGATGGGCGCAGAAGCTACGAGAGACGCCCCGGTTATCAAGCACTTGGACACACAGCAAGTTCAGATTGGAACAGCTGCTGGAGTTTACTTTGGGAAAACTGTGAAAAGCCGCCGCCTGTCTCAGTGTTACTGTTACTGGACAAAGCAATCGAGTTCTGCCTTCGTGCAAGAGTTCAACACGTCTACTGAAACTGTTGACTAAATAACACGTGACTGTTAATACTAATAGCAGGTTGTATTTATTTTTTAATAAAGTGCTTTTGCAGAAAGAGCGTCTCTTTTAGGCTCAAATGAGACGGGAGCGATCTTTTTAATTTGAATTAATCAAGTGTGAAATTATTTAAAGTCATTAAACTGGAGCCAGCAGCCCTTCTGTCCACTAACTCTTTGGACATTGCTAAGCAAAGTCAGAGACGAGGGAAGCCTCCGTATGGAAGGAAATATTCTCGAGCCGTGCCAGAGTGGCTTGTGGGTAGAGCTTACAGGCCACAGACAGGAACTCCTGAATCTCACCTCTTCATCATCACCTCCTGAAATCCGCCGGTCCATCCGAGTGCCATTCAAGACGCTTTCAATCGTAGTTTTCTCGTCCCGTCCACACACACAACCCTTTCGTCGAATCATTTCAGCCTGTTTTTCTCCTTCCACCTGTAAATTTGTGCCTTACACCCCTGAGTTGTGAAGTGTTTGTTAGCTGTTAACTGTCGTAGTTCTTATGATGACGTTTGTTTCCCTTGTTTGATTAAAAAAAGAAACAAAAAAAAACACGTAAGTGAAGAATGTAGGTGTTGTTGTTGTCGACTCTGGTCCCTTTGCTAACCATAAATGTGACCCTGGACCACAAAACCAGTCATAAGGGTCCATTTTTCCAAATTGAAATCTGAATAAATAATCTTTCCATTGATGTATGGTTTGTTAGGATCGGACAATATTTGAAAATCTGGAATCTGAGGGAGAAAAAAAATCTAAATATTGAGAAAATCATCTTTAAAGTTGTTCAAATGAAGTTCTTAGCAATGCATATTACTTATCAAACATTAAGTTTTGATATATTTACGGTAGGAAATGTAATAAATATCTTGATCTTGAACATGATCTTTACTTAATATCCTAATGATTTTTGGCATAAAAGAGAAATGTATAATTGTGACCCATACAATGTATTGTTGGCTATTGCTACAAATATCCCCCAGCGACTTAACACCGCTTTTGTGCTGCAGGGTCACATATGGCTTTGTGCTTGATTTCTGATTGTGCCAATGAATCGTCGGAGTCGGCCCTCTCGTCGTGCTGGAAGAATGTCTGATTTTGTTTTCGTTTGTCCTTTTTTACTTTTCACAAAGTCAAGATGATGTTTTACACTGTTTGTAGATGACTTGTTGTGTATCTGTGGATCGCGTTGCTTCGATGCAATAAGAGAAAAACACAGGAACGAACCAGATATGACGTTTCTCCCAAACACACACACACACACACACAAGCTTTCTAATGTACACGATCAAACAGTTTTTAGGCAGTGAATACAGGCTGGCTCCTGTGTAGATATGCACTCCAATAATATTAGGAAACAGATTCATGTTTTCAATGTTTGTGACAGATTCCAATTAATATAATTTTCTAGCTCTATGGTTGTGATGTAATATGAGGGATTGTTATTGAACTATTTTGACACACGTTTTATTGAACTTGACGTCCAGGAATCTAGTTTTGGCTTTGTAGATGTTGAATTCACCCAGCTCTCTGAGTTTATCCGCAGCGAACGGAGCTCGAGGTTCTTGTGCTGGTGCCTTTCTAGACGCCTCTAGACTTTGGAAGTGGAGTTTGTACTCTTGTATGATATGGTTTTGTCACCGGCCCTCTCCCACATCTGATTCACAGCTAAATGTATGTTGTAAAGAAATCCTCTTTAATAAATGGAAAAAAGTAATAAAAACATTTCAGATTCTTGTCGCAGAGCTTGTGTTTTTTGTGAAACGTGAGACGGACGTCTTCACGCTACGATGAGCGCTTTAGGGGGTTTGGCACTTCCGCAGCAAAGACTCGATTGTTGAGGATCTGTAACCGTGAATAAACACGCCGATAAGAATCGCTCTGGAGCCCCGAGTGGCCGTTCCAGACGCCCGTCTTCAGACACGATGACAGATTAAATGTTTCTGGGGCATTGAAGGTCTCAGGTGTCCTGTTCCTTTGTCTCAACATGCTCTGTTTGCGCAAGGCTCTTGTCTTTACTGTTAGTCCATACGATATACACAACAGTAACTCGGTTACTAACTACCCGCTTTGTGTTCCGCAAACAGAGACTGAAACAGCCGAGAGCCACACAATGGCTTTGACCTCCAGAACCTCGGCTCTGTCAAATTCAATTGTTTACACGTGCGATGCAGATCTGATTCACCGTCTGTAATCCTCTGATATCTGCTAATGACCGTCACCATGTGCCATTTCTGCCGCTGTCAGACTCATTTCTCTCGTGTAGGTGAAAAACCAGCCGTTTAATTGACGTCAGCTGCGAGCGGATGATCTAGCTGATAACTAAAACTGGAGTCTAGAGTGAAACCTCGCAGAAGATCCTGAATAAATCTCATTTACTTCCTTTTGAACCCGTCACAGCGAGGATGAGTCAGTGCCTCGTAATAAATCACATTCATAACCCGTGACATTTCACTCTCAAGATGTTTCAGCGCAATAAAAGTCAGGTTTTAGATAGGCTACATGTTCCAAATGGAAGCTACAGGCAAAACATTGTGTTTTCATGCACTGCTCAGTTTGTGGAGTTTCGCTTCCATATCAAGTCTCTTCTTTCAGACGAGCGGAAAGAAAACATCCAAAACACACATTTAAGTGTTTATTTTATTGCACTTTATCTATTTGTGTCTGTAGAATTCAATCTTTAAAGAGTTTTTTCTCTTTCAAACTGTTTTATTCCTCTCTATATTCTGAAGGTTTGTCCATATTTAATTCACTCTGATTTATATAACATTTTACTCCAAAAAAACATGGTGAAAATTAGCTTTTTTCTGTCTGTTGACAGTATTTTCTGATTTATGGAGTGATAAAGAGAAATCCAGAATCCCCGCTGGAAAAACTGGCACCAAAATGAAAGAGTTTTGAACCTGGCTTTATCCAATGTTCAGATATTTATGTGCTTGGTAATGTATGCAAATTATTATTGCAAAATTTTAATTTATGCATTTGGCAGATGCTTTTATCCAAAGCAACTCGTATTGCTTTCAAGTTATACATTTCATCAGTAAATGCATTCCCTGGGAATCAAACTCATGACCTTGCCACTGCTTGCACTATAATCTAAGGATTAAGTCTGAGTAAAAAATATTGATATCTCGATATTAATCGATTCTCATTTTTATGGAACGATATCGATTCTTAAATCCCAAGAATTGATTAGTCTAGCTTGTTTTCAAGTAAATGGATGGAACTTTGAAGCGCACTTCCAATATATCGCAATAAGCATAGTGCTTTTTGGTACTTTTAATACGAAACAAAGTCTCAGATTTCAAATTCTGTCCATTGTATTGCAGTATTCAAACAATAAATGCAGTTTTGGCGCTGTTTAATGTGAAGTGACAGATCGGTGTAGCGCCTCAGTGAACTGATCATCTCCTCCGCTTTATTACTAGTTATATAAAATATTTCATCGTTTTAGCAAGTGTGTTATTTTTATTGTTTCAATTTTAGTATTATTTGAAGTGTAGGTCTTTTGTATATCATTCACTAGCAGCTCATCAAACTCAGGTTCTCAGGTGTGAGGCTGATGTTCCTGATGATCAGACTCAGAGCTTCTCCGTGACGCTGTGATCGTGTGTTTGTCTCAGGTGCGCTCGAGGACGGCCTCGCTCCTGCTAAGTGCTCATTTCAGCTCAGAGCTGAAGGTCAGATGGATTTTCTGTCTCCCGGGAAATGATTTCCAGAATCATGTTAACAGCAGCACTTCAGAATGAATGATACTGTCATTGAACACGAGAGGACGCGGCGTAGCGACTCCATGGTTGATTACTGAGCTTAATTAACACATTAATACAGGATCACTTATAGTACTGTTCCTCTTTTAAAATATTAATGCGTCATCTGAAATGCATGAACATACCAGAGTGGAATATAAGTTTACTTGAATATATGTTCATGTAGCGCTCAGCATTTGATTTCAGTGAAAGTCTCAACCCATTGACATAGAGGTCAGAGGTCAGACGCTCATTCATGACACTGAGGATCCCTGGAGAGGTCAGCGGGAGGAAGTGATGTCACAGCTGATGTGTGTGTGTGTGTGTGTTCTCATGTATGTAGGTTAGTGAAGCTGAAACGAGAGCAGCAGCTGCTTCATCCATAATGAACAAGCTCCTCCCCCTCCATCTCAGGTGTCCTACAGCTGTGACATGATTTGCATGCGACCCCGCCCACTTTCATAATCATGCTGAGAACGCAAGGAAGGTGAAAACACACACACACACACACTCACACACAGATATTCCCTCGCCTTGAGAAGAAGAGAAGCTGATTTACTGAAGTGATCATTTAATACGAAACAAAGTCTCAGATTTCAAATTCTGTCCATTGTATTGCAGTATTCAAACAATAAATGCAGTTTTGGCGCTGTTTAATGTGAAGTGACAGATCGGTGTAGCGCCTCAGTGAACTGATCATCTCCTCCGCTTTATTACTAGTTATAGCACAAAATAAACATGACTAAACATCTGAAGGTAAGTTAAAAGAAAGAGTACAACTTTACAATCCGTATCCTGTCTCATGTAATCACTCAATCAGTGTTTCATCCGCACAAATACACCAATATAACGGCTTGTAAACAATGTCACGTAACGTCACATTTACCTCAGAAAAACATATTCGTGACCATAAACTCATTAGTCAGAAAAATAGACTGTAGTAGAGAGGGGCATTTTGCTAAATATATGCATCATATAACATATTCATTATAAATTTTACTGTTCTTCAATGTTTAATTTATGTTTGAATAAATCCATCATTTCATAACAGCCACCATTATGTTTATATTTAAAAAAAACAAAACGAATTGAAGTAGAAATATTATGTAATTTTAACTTTATTATTTTAAAAACTTCATTGTGTAATTTTATCAAATCGGTTCATTTTAACCTTCAATATTATAGTAATGTAGTACCAGCTGACTCTCATGTATATTTTACAGCATTAGTTGAGAGATTTTTTTCCTTGAGAAAATGTGGCATGTACTGCACCCGATACGTATCCAAAATAATCGATATGGAATTGAATTGAATCGAATTGCAAGCTTGTGAATGAGAATCGAATCGTGACATTTGTGTCAAAACCCAGCCCTACTAGGGATATTTAATTACATAATGCCTTATTTGCATATTTCAACAACTTTTCAGAAAACTTGAAATGCTAAAAAATAATAATTCAATAATGATGATCAATATCAGAATGTTTAATGGCCTGTAAGTGAAAGTATTTAGACGTGTTTGGATCTGAAACACGCTGTTTTCCAGACTAGCGTTTCATCATGTGATGTTCAGGCCTCCGGCGTGGAGCAAATCCCTGGACCGCGGCGATGGAGGGATGTAAGCCGAGGCTGGCACCGGGATCAAAACGAGATGCCCTACTTTGCCTCAGCTTGTAAAACTCTTGGGCATAAAGAGCGTGAAGCTGCTTGAGAAGCGTGAGTTTGCTGAAGTGATACGAGCCGCTCAAATCCCTCCAACCACAACAAAGCGAGGCTCTGTGTGAACGCGTTCCTGAGCTCAGAGTCACTTCAGACGCAGTCGTGCTTCAGAAAGCAGATCATCTGTGACAGGCAGCAGAGTGTGTTCATCAGGACCTGACAGACTGCTGCTGGGGAGTTTTCTGCTGAAGGTCGTGACCTCGTCTCCAGAGGATCCTGAAGGAAGCTCGCTTCGAGTCCGCCGTGTTTTATCCCAGAATGCCCGGCTGTTCGCTGCTTTATCTCTGCTGCCAGAAACCAGCCATTCTCAAATGATTTATCAGTCTGTCCCAGCTAACAGGGAACGTCCTCAAACATTTTTAAAAAGTTACGTATATAAATGTTAAATAACATTCTTAAAGTGATGTCTAAGGCATGCACTTATAACTAAAATATGACATTCTCACTGATGAGAGATCAACATTTCTCTGAACATCTTTATGATGTTGTTTGTAAGATTCTAAGAAACATTTTTGTAACCTTTAATCAACGTTCTAATCGCAACAAGAAAACAGAACATTTTAATGTTCGTCGAATATAAAAAAAATAAATGTTCAAATGATGTTATATTTTGGGTGAAAATAAAGTTAGTAGAACAATTAGGAAATGCTTTTGTAACCTTTAAATAATGCAAGTAAACTGGGCATTTTAATGTTCTCAGAATATTACAAATAAACATTCAAATAACGTTATATTTTGGGTGAAAAAGAAAATTCTAATCACGACAATAAATCTGGACATTTTAAAATAATGTTCCCACAATGTTTTTATAACCTAAATTTGTTAAACCCCTTTATTTATTCATTTTTATTTTATTTATTGATTTATTTATTTTGAAGTTTTAAGATTTAAGAATTGTGCAGCTAAACAAATAAAATATTTCATCGTTTTAGCAAGTGTGTTATTTTTATTGTTTCAATTTTAGTATTATTTGAAGTGTAGGTCTTTTGTATATCATTCACTAGCAGCTCATCAAACTCAGGTTCTCAGGTGTGAGGCTGATGTTCCTGATGATCAGACTCAGAGCTTCTCCGTGACGCTGTGATCGTGTGTTTGTCTCAGGTGCGCTCGAGGACGGCCTCGCTCCTGCTAAGTGCTCATTTCAGCTCAGAGCTGAAGGTCAGATGGATTTTCTGTCTCCCGGGAAATGATTTCCAGAATCATGTTAACAGCAGCACTTCAGAATGAGTGATACTGTCATTGAACACGAGAGGACGCGGCGTAACGACTCCATGGTTGATTACTGAGCTTAATTAACACATTAATACAGGATCACTTATAGTACTGTTCCTCTTTTAAAATATTAATGCGTCATCTGAAATGCATGAACATACCAGAGTGGAATATAAGTTTACTTGAATATATGTTCATGTAGCGCTCAGCATTTGATTTCAGTGAAAGTCTCAACCCATTGACATAGAGGTCAGAGGTCAGACGCTCATTCATGACACTGAGGATCCCTGGAGAGGTCAGCGGGAGGAAGTGATGTCACAGCTGATGTGTGTGTGTGTGTGTGTTCTCATGGTGTGTGTGTGTGTGTGTGTGTGTGTCGGAGCGGCTGAAGGGTCATTGTGAAGCTCCTCAGTGATCTCAGTGTTCGTCTCTCTCTTTCTCTCCAGTATCTTGGAGCTGAACAGCTCGTCCTCCATTCTTCACAAACACTGGCTCTTTCTCTCCGGCTCTCGACTCAACTCTTTCTCTTTTCTCTCTTCGTTTATGCTGCTCTTGCCCTCGAGACACGTTCACATGAATCAGGCGCATGCTCGGCCGCTATTGTTTTAGTAAGTTTGTGACCTCAGAGTGCCAGCAGACGGGATTGTACCATCAGATCACAGACTGACATGAAGATTTCCATCGAGCTGATCTGTCAGCACTCATAGTGTGCATCATCAGGGCATTAAAACTCAAACCACTGTCTGTCTGAATAAAGCTGGCTGGGACGAAAGAGGATTTCTCCGGTGCAATCAGCAGAAGATCCTCCTTCATATTCCAGCACAGCCAAGAACTCTAAAATCAGGGCAGAATTCATGAATTCTTTAAACTGAGCGAAGTGTTTCTCTCTCTCTCTCTCTGTGTGACACACACACACAGACCCTACAGCAGCTATAATTACACACCCGCTAATCCTGTTTCCCAAATCCAGGAGCCCACAGATCCATGCGGAAAATCCCACGGCTCCACATTTTCTCCATCCGTCTCGCGGATCCAGTTTCACACAAAGATCTGCGTTTGTCTTCAGAAACGCTTCGACGTTCACACACACTGACAGAAACTCGCTCACATCTCGATTCAGTCTTCATTTGATAAAAAATCTCTCTCAAACGCTCACAGTGACCGCAAGCTCCAAAACCAGCTGAAGTTCCCCACAGAAACTAACAGCATATGGTCTGGATCGACATGAGGGCGAATAAATAATGAGAGAATGCTGGTTTTTGGGTGATTTGTGCTTTAATCCGTTTAGAGCTCATCTGTTGATGTGTCGCTCCGCTTCAGGATTTGAGGAACCGTGTTTTCTCCGGAGGTTCATTACGATTCATCCAAACATGATGTGTTTATTAGGAGACACTTCACTGATAGAATGACCCAGATCCGTTTTTAATTAGTCCTTTTTATCTTGTTTTCCAGTTAAAATATCAAAAAGGCTGAGATAAATGTGCTAGAGGAGCAGCACGGCTTGAGATATCAAAGCTTGTTTTCAGAGAATGTGATTTAATTCACTGGACAAGAGCAATTATTGAGAAAAGTTTAAAAACCAGGGCAGATTTATGAGTTTTCTCAACTCTTGAGTCTAAATAATTGTCCTTGATAACACACTAAAAGCATCATTCAGCCGATGCATTCCTGCAGATTTCTTCTTCAGTAAGTAACACAATTATTTAGCCATATATGTAGTTTATCCTACACTTCAGGCGTGAACGATGTGATCTTTATGTTTCTGGTCTTCTTAAAGCAGAGATCCGTCGTTTGGTTGTACTCAGATCTCACAGTGTCCCAAAAAATAGTGCAATATACATAAAAATTAAACACTTAAAAAAATTATTTAGTTTTGACCTCTATAGGCTTTACCTTTCATATTTGTATTTAGTCTAAATCTAGGCTATTGCAAGAGATTGGAAATGTATTTTCTTACCCTGAAATATATTTAGTTTTAACCATCATATGCCAAAATATATTTCATTGAGATTCACTGTTTACAGCATATATTTAAAATGTTGGTCAGAAATACTTTCTTTGTTTTTACTGTATGGGACAAAACCATCACTATCTACGTTTACATTTATTCATTTAGCAGACAGTTTTATTCAAAGTTTATTATTTTAAGACAAAGAAGAGTGAACGAGAAGGTTCTGGAACCTGATTTTGTGCTCTTTCTAAACATCTAAATGATTATTTAACGCTCGGGTGTGTGTCCTAGCATCAGTACGACTTTCTGTAAATGTGTATCGTCTAAAGCACTATACAAATGAACATGACTGGACTGCAACTTTAACTACTGGCCAGATTTTAGAAAGACTTTAAATATCGATTTACTGATCCACATCAACATCCATACGTCCTACAATCGTGAAAATAAAGCTTCTTCATTGGCATTGATGGTTTCATGAAGAACAACATCCACAGAACGTTTCCATCGCACAAAAGATTATTCAAATATCATTTACACTAAGAAAAACTGATCTCAAAAGTGGCTCTCTCTTTGACTTTTTACGAGTGTAGAGGACAGCCAGTCATTAGACTTTGATGAAAAATTGTGAGGACAAAAACAATTCTCTTTTGTACGATAAGACCAGGAACATGAGGCGTTAATGCACTCGATTAGTATTCGATTATGAGTTCATGCTGAGTTTAGCATAAGAATGTGTTTGTTTGAGAGCTTCATCTCACATCTGGAGCGTCTGCAGTCACTAGATGAAGCTCCGGGTCGAGTCCAGACGGCCTGTGATCGGCTCGCTCCTCCAGAACTCTGTGTTCTGCTGTCTCTGCTGGAGTCTCGCAGCACCGAGCGTCTCGCCATCTGTTCAGCGATCTGCACGTCACACAGTGAGTGCACTTCAAGAGAAGATGAAGCACACGGACACAGAAGCACCTGCTGACTGACGAGTCTTCACGAGGAACTCGCTCATCGTCCTGTTAGATCATCTGAGCCAGATCTTCTCCAGCATCAGCCGCTCGATTAACACTTCCAGCACTACAGATTCTGTCAAAGAGACGTCTGAGAGACCGAAAACAGCGTTTCTGCAGGCCATCATTCACTTCCATCAGAGCAGAAACTCTTAAATTAATAAAGTTGTGACAAACAATGCAAAAATTGAACCTCTTCCTCAGTATTTCTGTCTTGCTCTCCAGCTCAAATATTAAACATCCTTAAATCAAGACACTGAATTTCTGAGAAATTGAAGTTTATGATTAAAACAAGAATAAATATCTGTCGATGAGGAATGAAAACTTGTTTTTCATTTGAATAACGTTTATTTTTCTGAGCTCATTGGCAGATATTTGTTCTTGTTTCAATCATAAACTCATTTATCAGTTTTCTTATAAAGGAAGACTTATGATTTTAAGTTATTTTATATCTTAGGTAAATGACTAATTGTTTTGGTGTCTGTATTGCAAACAAAACAAGTTATTGCCGTATTTGAGAGCGAACTCTTTTTTTTCCGTAAAATGAATTATAAAGTAATAAGTTGTTGTATTTTCTTTGAACTTTGAAGTGTTTGAAAATACAAGACATTTACATTTAGAGACCATATTGACGTATTGATTTATGTTCAATTTATTCCTTACTTGGTCTTAAAAAGTCTTGAATTTAACTTCAGAAACCCTGAGAGAAAGGTCATAAATACAGACGCTGGACCTTCAGAGCAAAAGCATCTTTAATGAAACATCATCAGATGTGTGACGGATCTTGATGGCGTTCATGAACACATCAGCATCAGCGCTTCAGCCTCGCATTACAAATCCAGAAACAAGTGTTCAACGACTGAACCACCAAACAGCTGCTGACGCCACCAGAGGAATCATGGGACGGCAGACGGAGGCCGCATCAGCTGAGGGAGTCCAGCTGAGTCTGAATCCTCTCCATCTGTAAGACACACAGAGCCGTGAGCGTCTGAACGCGCTGAAGATCAGGAAACACGTGGGATTCAGTCTGACCTGATTGTAGAAGTCCAGCAGATCCTGATGGCTGAACTCCACAAACACGTCCTGCAGACGCTGAAACGGAGGAAGAAACGGCGATAAAAGCATTTCATCAATTATTAGCGCAGTCTGTCCTGTAGAAATCACTCTCCTCAGACACTGTAAGTGCACATGTGACCCGTTTGTGAAAGTTTCATGATCATATCAATAAAATATCAATAACACACTCTGAAAGAAAACACTTAAAACAGCAGAGCAGCGTTCGCGCTCAGACGAATCCGCATGGAAAAAATAAAGAAACTGACACGATGAGAGATCTTCTGCCAAAATAGACGCTCGAGTCTCTGTATGATGTGATTCAGAAATATTATCGATCTGACACTATGAGAACCGAATTGGTCTGAATAATGACTCTATTGTCTTCTGTGGAGCTGCTTTACAGCTGAAATTGAATTTCGAATTAAGAATCAACATTTATAATTGAATAACGGCAACATTGACAAAGTTAATGAATTGGATTGAGCTGAATTATGACACTTTTGTCTTCTGTGGAGCTGCGTTATAGTTAAGAATTGAATTTCGAAATTAAGAATCAAATTTGTTTCATAATTGATGAATTCTGCAACATTGACTGTTAATGAACTGAATTCAATCCAAATTGAGATGAATTATGGCATGATTGATTTCTGTAGAGTTGCTTTATAGTTAAGAGTTGAATTAAGAATCAAAGAACTGAATTTGTTTGATAGTTGAACTCTGCATCAATGACTCTTTTATTGAACTGAACGGATCTGAATAATCTTCTGTAGAGCTGATTTATAGTTAAGAATTGAATTAGTTTCATAATTGATTAATTTTACTGCTTTGAAATGATCTGTACTGTATAAAGTGCTATAGAAATAAATGTGGCTTGACTCAAAACATGATAAACGTCCTAATGAAGACACGGAGCAGAAGAGCGCAGGAAGACGCCGCCGCACACGCGTGACACACGTCTGATTCCTGAGGAGGAGGCCGGAGTCTCTGCGGCAGGAACACGTCAGGATGCATTAACACAGAGGACATTAATTAGACACAACATTATTATCCATAATTAAGAGTAAAAGGGGAAACGTTATCTTTAGCAGAGCCGCTGGAGATGAAGGACAAACGCAGAACACAGCCATCACACGAACACACAGATATAGAAGAACATCCACAGCAGGATCCTGACATGTGTGTGTGTGTGTGTGTGTGTTCATACACATGGGATGGAGATGAATGTGTGTCATGAATCAAGGGTTAATTCCAACCTCAGGTTCAGTAAGTGTTTTGACGTATCTAGGCTAACGCTAATGGCTCCTGCGTGCTTTCAGAGCTGACGGTAGAAATCACAGCTCTGGGGACGATCGCTGACTGTGACCACACACACACACACACACACTCACACACACTCACACACACTCACACACACTCACACACACTCACACACACTCACACACACTCACACACACTCACACACACTCACACACACTCACACACACTCACACACACTCACACACACTCACACACACTCACACACACTCACACACACTCACACACACTCACACACACTCACACACACTCACACACACTCACACACACTCACACACACTCACACACACTCACACACACTCACACACACTCACACACACAC